TCGAGACTATGGCGATTGTCTCGAAGAACAATAAAAAAAAAAAAAAAAAAAAAAAAAAAAAAAAAAAAAAAAAAAAAAAAAAAAAAAAAAAAAAAAAAAAAAAAAAAAAAAAGAAGAAGAAGAAGAAAGAGAAAGAGAACAGGTGAGGACAAAACAGAGACAGAGAGGAAAAGAGGAAAGGGAATCCGATGCGGAAAAATGCACGCGGCAGCAGAAAACCCGGCCGACCGCTTTCTTTCCGCCTTGACAGATATATAGAAAGAGAAGGATAGAGAAAAAGCAAGATCGGACGCAATATTAGGCTTATTACAGGAGGGTGGGAGTAATGCCGCAGATGTATTATGGCAGATCCTCCGATTCGGACACCCACAGGGATATCAAGAAAGAAGAATGGAATGACGGGAAATAGATGAGCACAGAGAACAAATAGAGATAGAGATCAGGTATGTAGGAGTGAGTCTCCGGGAGATGTATAGAATGAAGAAACAAGATAACAACCAAGAGAGAGCAGAAAGACAAACAGAAGACCACACTTCAACGGCTCCAGCTCTTCTTAAAGTGTCGATGATGGTCGCTCCTGAACAGACAGCTTGAGCGCTGCTATTAATTGCACGATCCTCGTCCCCATTGCCCCTGGACCCTCTTCGTCTTTGCTATCAGGGTGATTATTTCTCTGCCTTCTGTCCAGAGGTCCTGTCCTCTTTGAAAGTACGGAAGAGCTATAGTATGCTCCGTTGCTATTCTCATGATTATTGCTTTATTATTATTAGGATCAGGGACAATTCCGTAGTGCATTCCATGTCCATGTCCATGCTGTTGACACGGTAACTATGCAGCGGAGGATCTAGATAGATGGATCTCTTCTAGAATGATATTACGGAGCACTACGGAGGTACTATTTGATTACCGGATCCCCTTTTATTCTGTCAGACAAAAGTTCCGCGGTACCATGTACTCCGGAGTACACTCTACGGATACAGAGCACTCTACGGATCTCCATCGAGCACACGTCAACGGACGGGCTCCCATCTGCTCCGTACATACGGAGTACATAGTAGTATGAGAACACTCCCTCACCTCCATGTCACCGTATGTGGACACAGTACGGGTACTTGTACAAAAGTACGGCAAAAAGAACACCGTACCTCCTCCGACACAATCCTCCATCTCCGTACATACTCCGTGATCAACGTTGCGGAATCCGGATCGCACCTCTCCCTCGACGCTATTCAATCCCGGTTCCTGAATGACGGTTCCCATCCCGTCCTCTCGAAAACTTCCATCGCATCGTTAGTGTCTCCAGCGATGTCGTTACCTCCGATACGATAGGATAGGGGGGGGGGGGGTCTCCCCCGCTGCACGGTGGATAATCCCAATCCGCACCAATATCGATGATTGGAACATTGGAAGCTGGACCTTTGCCATTAGTGTTCTAGTGTCCCCGCGGAAGGACGGAGCGCAGACATAGTTTCGTTTTTTGTCTTTTCCCAATTCTAACAGGACCCGGCAAAAAGGCGCAGCAAGTACTCCCGTACAATACCGTGCAGTAAACTACCGGAAACAGTCACGAGCGGCTTATTTATTTCTGGTATGAGCTTTTTCTCCAAGACGATCCGGTGGCCCTGGTCTGGGCTGGTCTGGTCTGGTCGGTCCTGGTCGGAGGAGAGTCGGGATTTTTTATTGATTTGAGATTATTATTGAATGACTGACTGTTTCATCGTCCAGATATGCAACGAGTGCAGGGGACGAAGGCAACAGTCCAGTAGATATGTCTGGCTGCGTGTATGTTGTCTCTGCATATTCGGTCTCAGCCCGGGATATTAATAGCTGGATATAAGCTGCACTCGGGGAACAAATGTGATGCCATATATTTGACACGCCAGATGACAGGCAACTTCCGAGCCCAGTTTACGGAGTATTGATTGTATCCGCGGACAATCAGATGCCCCTATTCCCAGGGGATGTCGATAATAATATTCCAAGATCCATCAAAACCAAAAAGGAATATAATACGACATTACCGCCGCCGTAATGACTGAAACGCACTAAACCCGATTTGTCTGGTGACGCTCGATTGGTGGCAAGTCGCAATCATCGTGCAGTGCAGTGCAGTCAGTCTCATAATTCAGATGGCGAAAACGAAAACATTGGTTATTTCTAATCCATACCGGCTTTATTCTCGATCATTGGCGAGTACCAGAAACCAGAAACTAAAACAAGTGGAGGACGGCATGGGCGATCCGCGGCCATAGAACATTCTTAGTTCGTTCCCGCCAGGTACCGTCATTACCATACATTCCAGGGGTTCATTCCATCTAGTTTCTAGCACTTGGCTCACTACAGAGTACGTACTGAGATGGCGAAGTAGGTTACAAATATATGAGCTGCTAATAAAATGAGCACTTTGTACTCTGTACAACTGCTCAAATATCTGGCAAAATATATATACCCCCTCCTCCCCCCCCTGTACGGCACTACGGCGACTCCGTGGCCTCTCGCCACTATGCAGGCCAACCCTGACTTGCATTTCAGCTGGTCTCGCATACCTCAAGAATAGGACCGATCATTCTGATCTAAATGGCTGCATCGCCACATGCAAGGCTCTCTTTGTTCATGTAGATTCTGGATTTACTGATCTTCATTGGTGGTAGGAGACCCTTGAACATTTGAACATGGCCTTGATGAAGCAATGAAATAGTACGGAGTACAAGGATTTATACGGAGAGCGAATCAAAGCGAACCAGTACCATTTGCCTCCTCAAGCAGGCTTCCAACCGTCCAATCTCATGGTCTGTGTAGCCGCGAGTCTCAGCGCGTCGATTTCAAACGTTATGTTCTGATCCCCAAAACTTCCACATCCCCTCGCGAGGTCCGAGTAGAGAAATCTTTCTCCCACTTGATAAGTTCCTTCAGTTCCTTTTAACCAGAGCTCCGCGCTGGAATATATTTGCTCGCGAGGCTCGCTCCAACCGCTCTCGAATACAACTGTAGGCTGGTAGAAAGCAGCCGGAGTAATTGTCATATCTGGTTCTCTTTTTGACCCCGTATATGGGGGTCCGAACTTCTCATGTCCTTAAGAAACATGATCAGTCATATACGAAATATTGGAGAACAAGAAAAGAAAGCAACTTACTGAACGTCCTTGTAAACAACACACGACTCTCATCCCTACTGAGCACATTATTCACTCTAGCTTCTGCAAAAGTGCGAAAGATCTACGTCATATACCCTTCAAACCTACTCCCCAGGGCAAAAGACAACGATTTCAACGGCGAATTGTAACAGACGTGTAGGCATTTGCCATAAGTCTCTGGTTTGCTGTCTACCGTTTGGAGAATGTTGTCTGCGAGGTCGGGTTCTATACCGGTTAACTCGAGGAATAGTTTGTCATTTGCGGTGTATAATCACTCAATTTCATTTATGACTGCTTGCTTTATGGTTTTGGTGTCCTGTGGACGGTGGGGGTTCACGGAGAATGATGAAGTATCAACGGTTGATGAAGATAGTGTGAATAGTGCTGAGGGTAGATTCGGGAGGGATGGCTCTGGTTTGGCTGCCATTGTGGTTGATTGATGCTTGCTTATAGTCGATGTTAGTTTGATCGAGCTGAATAGAAAAAATTGTTTGCTATTAGGAGGAATACATAATAGCACGTCATGGGTCTGGAGTGTCAGGTAATATATATTGGCGGCCTAGATAGCATTAAGCCCTAACACACCATTCTTTGCTTGTCATCTGTCCGATAGAGTCTGATATATGTGTATACGGTGGTAGCAATACTGTAAATAACTAAAAAACATCGATGGTATTTCTAACATGATAGCCTGGCGCGATAGCTTAACCACTTCGGCCACTTTCCATATTCGGTAACTATATAGTAGAGGGTCTCTAACACAAGCAGCATACACGAACGAACGGTCTCTTTCACCTTTTTGATGCGTCGAAAACATGAATGTATTGGAACTGAAATGTCGCCACACGCCTAAAAAGCTCACCGACTACCTCTTTCTCGTTATTGTAGACAAGTGAACCAGAGTCGCCTGATTCGGCAAAGACATCCCCATCATATGGTGTGGCCACGAGGTGCTCTGCTGTCTTGCAAGATACTTCGTTACCATCCCCGTCGATCATGTGCAAGATAATAACCCCGTCAAGGCCTCTATATATTCCCGACATCTTTCTCGTCGACCGGCCGGTTTTGATGAGTCTGTACTCAATTTTGGAATTCCAGTGTGCAAAGATGGACCGTTTCAGAATCTGAATAGACAGGCGGATGCCATATCAGCCCTGTGCATATCTGCTGGTTCATGCCACTTCCATATATTAAGATCCCCAGGAAATCTTCCCCAGGTTCGTCCATTCTTCGAAAATCTCTGTGCCCTTTCTTTCCACAGAGCCCTGTGCTATCGGAGACACAAGCGATTCTCGCTCCACCCGCTCTCAGCCGCGGGGGAAAGGAACATGCCAGGGGGTTTCTTTCCATGCATAGAGCTGTAAAGTCTGCGTGCCCTTGAAAAAGAGTGGTCAGCCAGATAAAGAAACGCAATAAGGTCCATATAACTCACGCGACCAAATAAATGCGCGCGAACACCATGGCAGCAGTCACTTCTTTGATACCCACGGCAGTATGCTGTAACTGAAAGTTGAACCTTTCAGCACGTGCTATCAGCATACCGCTCACTTCTCTATTTATCTAGGCCTGTGTTAATTGCCGCCTCCTTTCTTCCAGTGTACTCGCCTTCGGTGTAGCCCGTTGGTGATCTCCCATGCAGTTCAGGTAAAGAGGCCTGTTGTACTGTGGGCTATCTATGGACCCATGACTTGTAAGCCAAGGGTGCCCCTGGAGCAGGCCACTGCAATGATATATCCCATCTCCCTTCTCTATTAGGACTATCTTTGATTAGGAGCCCAGCCGCAGACTGGTTGGAATATACTCATTGTTCTATCCTGGCCAGCACCAATGGTTCTGACAAGGTGTTGGCCAATGAACACTCTTTGGGGATGTAGAGGTCCGCAGGCACGGCAAGATTGGCTGGTATTAGGATGATAGTCTAGTCTTTATTTGAGGTCAGCTAATCTTCATATATTAACACCGCGGATTATGTAGGCATACCCTTTTCGGTTTTGAGTTACTCGACGTGCTTAATGTCACTAAAAAGCGTTTAAGAACGCTTCTATTTGTTCCGGTCCATTTGACTATTGTCTGGCTGCTTTTGTTCGGCCTTTATCACATAGTAAAAGCCCGAACCGGACTCAACTTCTTCAAGGGTCATTTCACCGCATCTATGTTAGTCGGGCCGACGTTATGGTCTCTCTGAGATCATTCGAACTTAGATTTCCAGTTCAGATGGGCTCAGTAGTTATTTCATCTTGTTTGGTCGGGAGATAGTGCTACTCGTGCAATTGGTCAGTGATGTATTACCATTTGGGGAAAATAGTGTCTGTGCGGCGAATTGATAGCATTATGTGCTCACCCTGTTCAATGAGCTCAGTTGAGATATCTGGGTATACCGTAACTTCATGCCGGTATACGCTTCGCGCCCCTATCAAGTCCTTTATGCATTCGTCCTTTCGGATGTATCAATCTGGGAAAGTCAGCCGTTTATACCGGCACAGCCGTTGGGGATGCCCTCCAACGAAGATTTGTGGCACGCCTTGAAGGATTGGAGAGATCTATCGAAAGAGTGCCAAGCAACGGCGATAGCCAGGGGGGGGGCTATCTCTGGTGGAGCTTTCGCTCTATAGGACCAAGCACGGGTTCTCATCTGGTCCGATAGTCGGTAAAATGTCACGGATTTCTCAAGACACCCCAAACACCTTGACCGTTGGAAGAAGATGTTGGGGGCATCACATATTTAGAGATCTATGAGTCGTAAGCTAGGGCCGCAGAGTATATTGTTGTAGTAGCTCACATTATTTGCCCTTATTTTTGAATGGACAATATTCATGCCCAGTTACAGGTTAATGGCAGGTCACTCGACATTGTGCTCTGTGAAAAAACCAAATAATTCATTCCGCTGCAGTATACTGGGGTAATGCGTAGCCAGTTTCAACCATGTCTGGAAAAGCACTTTTCTTTCTTCAAGTTTCGACCTACCACCCGTGGCGGGTTGATGAATTGATTGACCACAACCTCCTCAATTTGGGCCCCGACAAGCCTAACTTCACTATCTGGAAACCCCGCAAGTTTGGCGTAGATATTCTTACTGGCGGGTTGTTGATTCTAAACTTTCATTCTGCTCTCCTCACTGCCACCAAGAATTAAGAGCCTCTCGGGTCATGAGCAGACGTTTGCCAGACCTTCAGCTCGAAAGGATTTAGAGCGCCGAGCATATAGCTTGTATTGGCTTCAATGCTTGGTATCCCTTCAGGAAAATATCCACTGGCAAGTCGCAATCGTATGCTATGGATTGCCACAAAGACTTGTCTCGGTCGATCAACCTCGCCAAAGGACAAGGGCACTTTATCTTTGAAGCCTCTTGTAGACTACATTAGCGGAGCATTCGATGAAGCACAGCCACTGTTGTGAGATTTTGCCATTCTAGCCCTAGAACACCTCAATTGACGGATGTTGAAAAATCGACGTAATATGGGAGATGATTCTGATCACTTTTCTTCAATCTTTTGACGTCTCTTCTTTTCTGAGTGCGACGAACGCCACAAGCTTTTGCTTCGGGTTAATTTTTGACTGTCTGCCCTCGATTGCAAGTCCGAGAAAAATGGCGAAAGCAAAAGTATGACATACAGCCTTTCCAGAGGAAAAACCACCAATCTATTCCGTTCGACTAGAATGCTCTATTATCGGAGCCAGATTTGAGAGCGATTTGTTGGAATGTGCCGATAGTCGACTCCGTGTGGACGAGGTAGACGAATGGCTCGACCATTCGCTTGATATGGATTGTGTGAGTATGCAAATTCTAGGTCTTTCGTCTACCTCCAAAAGTGTACCCTCTTTTTCACCTCGTTCAGGTGTTTGTATGTTCATGCGAGAGATTGACAAGTGAACAATGGGTCTCAATAGTAGAAACTTAAGTTAGCGACAGGCTTGTCGAATAATTTGACCACTTGTAGGTAAGCCCACGCCCATCTTTCATCTTGGACTGAGTGAATAATGGATATTGTCAGTCCTAGTACACAATTCGCTGTTTCTCGGGATGTTTGCTGAGAGGTGCTGATAGAAAACGCAAAGAGAGGTACGACGCTTTGGTGTGTGTAGAAATTGTAGAATAAAGAGAGATGAAGAAGAGAAGGGGAAAAGAAGAAGTCGCGAAAGAAAGAAGTGAGCAGATGCCATTTGACATGGGTAGTGAATAGTCTTCTACGGTTGTATTCCAACCGAGAAATCAATATGAAAAAAGATAGGATCAGAGTTTACAATACTTCGAACGTGAAGACCATCGATCAACTCCTATTGAGCAGCAAAAATAAGCTAATATCAGAAAACTACCAAGTACGAACATCAACCGCCCCCGTCAACCTCGTAACATCCCCAAAAATGTCCATAATATGCTCAATCTAAAAAGCATTAACCCGTTCAGCGCCCCCAACAAGAAGACCAACCACCTTCGCGTCTTTAGTATACACAAAAGCACCAGAATCTCCAGGGTTAGCAAAGGGTTTATTAGAGGGGCCGTAGACGATGTGCTCGAAAGTCGCAACTGGCACTTCATTGCCGTGGATATCTAGTCCTCTTGTGATTATGACTGCGGGTAGTCCATATCGGTCTTCAGTTAGCCCGGTTGAGCGTCCAGATTTGTAGACCGTTTCGCCCTGTTTGGGGTTCCCATGTAATGCATTATGGAAGCGCATACAGACCGATTTGCCATGTCCATAAACCGGATTATCACCTTTTCTTTCAGGGGAAACTCTGATCAGCGCCCAATCACTTACTGAAGAAGTATTGTCCCTCCAGGACACGCGGTTAGAGCGGCTGCCGTATTCCACATCTCCGAAATAATGCATCCCTGAGGTTAACCACTCCTCGAATACGCTCTTGACTCTTATCTCATGGCCAAAGAACAGAGAATAAAAATACATGTAATGATCGATGGAATGATGGGTTGATGGTACGGTGTACTAGGATATCATGGACAAAGGTGCTACCGTTCTGTCGATATTCATTGTGATGCCTATGTAGTAAATGAATTATTGTTAGGTATTCTTACGCTAAATATATGATACCGTATGGTCATGCACGCGCAATGATATTACCGGTCTGATTTATTCTTTATCAGAGATAGTGGAAAGGAATGAGCAAGTTTGATGGGTTTTGCAGCAGGCAGGATTCTTGCTATGTGTGTGAATAGAGGGGCTGCTGTGCTCGAGATAGGATTTTACTAGCTGGAATGCCGTACAGAGCGTTTACCGCATGGCAACACTATCAGGTCAGATTTGCATAGAGCATGAAGCATTGCCCATTATCAAGTTATCCCCTTTCCCATTTGAGCGCCTGTTTTGTTATTGCCTTGAAGATGAACAGTATGAATGAAGACAAAAGGCAAAAGTACAAATAACTAACGGGGAATAGTATAAAAAAGAATCAAAACTGCAGCGCCGTGAGTAGAGAGAAAGCAAAGATACGGGGATAATACTCGGGTTCTCCCGACCATGCCAAATCATGGTCCAATGGTTCTCCTGCCGTGTGGAAGAAGAAAAACCCAGCATTTTTGGGGCGGTCATGGATAACGCTGCTAGTTGTTGCCACCCCCCAAAACGCCTCCGAATTAAGACCCGGCTCAAAGCGTCGCACATAAACCATAGATATCCCAGAGTGCTTTTCCCTTCTTTTTTCCTCTTTTCATTCGTCGTTAAATATCAAACGCCGTATTCGTAGGGTATTCGCCGTATTTAAACATCCTTCTTGCCCTTCTTCTGCTCGACCTTAAGCAGCAGCGCACGGTTGATACGAGGCAAAACACCACCAAAGGCGATGGTGGCACGGATCAGGGTGTCCAACTCTTCGTCACCACGGATTGCGAGCTGTAGGTGACGAGGGGTGATACGCTTGACCTTGAGGTCCTTGGCGGCGTTACCCGCGAGTTCCAGGACTTCTGCGGTCAGGTATTCAAGGACAGCGGTGACATAGACGGCGGCTAGAGATGCTTGTCAGCGATCGCGCATATACAGAGGACGGGTCTGGAAAAAGGGAACAGGCGCGCTTTAGAGGGGAGGGGAGGGAAACTAACCCTTGGCACCAACGCGCATCTTGTTCTGGGTGTTGTTCTTTAAGAAACGCTTAACACGACCGCAAGGAAACTGTAGATCAATAGCCGTTAGTTTAACTCTGTTCGAAGCACGAAGAATGGATAAAGCAGTGGACGTTGTCGCCGGCAGCATCGGATGGAGGTAGATAAGGCGCGCGACCGTGAAATAAGGCTGCGCTGTCAATAGCGATGAAAATTCACCAAGAACAGTGACTTGGAATTTTCAACGCGTTTTTCCCTTTTCCAAGATCACGTCACTTGTCGTACATCCATCGCACCGAATCGCCAGCGACACGAAAAATAAAAAGTAGCGATGTCGACCAAAGGCAAAGCACAAAAGCGAAGAAAAAATTGCACCGACCTGCAGGCCAGCCTTTGCGCTGTGGGACTTTTGAGTCTTCCCCGCAGACTCCTTGGAACCACCCTTTCCACCAATCGACTTTCCCTTTCCGCCGGGCATCTTGAAAATGAGTCGAGAATAAGAGTCGCAGCGATGTAGAGTCGCGTCGGATGAAGATTGAAGGCGATAGAGCGCGGGTGTGGAGGGTGAAGCGATCGGAATAGCGGGAGGGCACGCGCGTTGTTGATGGATGGAAGAAGTGAGAAATGTTAGACATCCCCGTCGCTAAAGACCGTCGAACGTGGAGCGGCGCTAGTCCCGATTAGGAAACCAGCTCACTCGGCCACAATCTCGAGCATACAAGACGATGACTGATGCCGAGTCACCATGGCGGGGAAGATAGATGAGTGTCTTGTCGTCTGTTAGCCATATGCTGTAAGATAGATTAGTCCAAGTCTGAGAGTATACAATGGGTTAGTCCCGTGGGCAGGTCATGTTGAGACTGCCATGTCTGGAGTCTGCCACTCAGTTATGCTGCGCTCTCGACCATATATGGCCTAAATAAGTTTGTAAATTCTGAAAGACTGGTTTGCAGCAGTCGCAATCATCATATCACTCATTTGTAACCTTTGAAAGTGGCCTGCCAGCGCGCGTTCAGTCAAGATCAAGCGCCATTGTGTTGTTGACGAGGAACACTGCGGTGCAGACAAACTGGCCGTCAAAGTCATGTGATATCAACACCTGAGGCATATATTGTGTAATCTGTCACGTGACCACGCACCTTTCAGGCCAGCTGTTCGACTTCCGGGGACTCCAGTTCCGCGGCCCTACAAATTTTGTCCCTGCGCGCGCTTTCTTTGCACCAGTTTTCCAGGTCGTGTCTTCATTGCATTTCAGTTTTCGTCTTTTGTCCAAGGGTCTTTCGTCTTAATCGCCAAAATGGTGTCTCCTCAAGTGTAAGTCATTGACTCGTCGGGCTTTTTTCGCATCACTGTAGTCACGATGGCAGCTACTCTTTTGTGGTGACATTTACTGACTGATTCTTGCGCGATGTAGAACCAATATGGCTGTCATCCTTGTGATGATGCAGCTGGCCAAGAAGATTCCATTTGAGAACCCGGAGATTCTGATGCTCGTTCGGGGGTTGTACGTCTTGTCCAACTTGATCATCTTGAGCATTTACCTCTTTACGCAAAAGAAGGTCACTACGAAGAAGGGTACGAGCCCGTCATCGCTTTCTTTGCGATTCCCCATCTGATCCTCCCATCAATTGACTAACACTTACTCGTCCAGACATGACGACCCTCAAATACGTCGAGCCCGCCCCGATGGGTAGCAGCGAGGAACCCCGTCCCGTGACGACGACCAACATGGACTACGACAAGTCGCAGCTGCGCCAGCTGATCAAGAGCCAGTTGATGGGCGTTGGCATGATGGGCGTGATGCACCTGTATTTCAAGTACACCAACCCGCTTCTGATCCAGTCGATCATCCCGCTCAAGAGCGCGCTCGAGTCGAACCTGGTCAAGATCCACCTCTTCGGCAAGCCGGCCACCGGTGAGCTGCAGCGACCGTTCAAGGCTGGCAACAGCTTCATGAACCAGGGTCAGGTCAAGAGCGACAAGGCGTCTGTTGAGCAGGCAGAGAAGAACTATCGCGGTGGTGTTAAGGAGGAGTAAATGTGATGAATTGCTATGATTTTTGCTATGTGGGGGATATTTTGCATTCTGGATTGGGAGGACTGACCTAAAAGAGCATATTGTATACATAGATAATTGTGAGCCGTGGGGGGGGCTTCTGTCGTTTGGGGTGATATTCTAATTTGATTCTTATCGTGACTCGAAGATTTACACCGAGACTGATCAGGTGATACCAACGCGGGAGGACATTGTTAGTATGTAATGTGGGGAAGAACCTTCTCGTAGGTACCAGATGTGTCAGGGACTGGAATGTTCATAGCCATAGCACTCAGTATTGCACACGGCTGTATATTCCGCTGAGTACATGACAGCCACTCATCCTTTCCGCACTCGATATCCGTACTCGTAGAGATACACATACTACAGAGCATGTATGCTCATCTGAAGACGATTTCATTTCAAATCAAACAAACAAACAACCCAAAACGGCGACAAAAAAAAAAAAAAAAAACCATTCACATGATTGCAGCCGGTGAATCTTTCTGGAGAGCCAAGCTTTGCTGCAACCCCGACCTGGACCCGGAACGGAAGAACTTGAATGGATTAATATTCCGGCGATGCAGAGTAGTCAGGATTAACCTTTATCCGGTGCCGGGGCCGAAAGCGGCAACCCCTCATTGTTCACCGGAATAGTGGGATGGAGGGGAGGGGATGTTACTGATAGAATCCATTGCGTTACATCATCCTCTCCATGAGAATACTGTAGTGTGTACTCCGTAGTATTGCTGTATCCCCCGGAATCAAGCGATGGGATAACTCGGAATCGGTCCTTAAACACCCTATAGCCTAGGCAAACACGACAATCACGATATACCTCGTGCCGGACGAAAATCTGGCAAAACATTCATGAGTAAATCTATAGACTATCATTGGCCACTGCTCGGCTGCCAGGTCCCCCCAAATATCGTCGACTCCTGCTTTGCCCGGTGTCTGAAACCGGAAGGCTGCTGTGGTGGTGTTTGCCCCGTCTGTCCGCCCGGTGTAGCTGTTCTATGTTAGAATCGTTGCGTCAGTAACCGCCCCCTCTCCTCCGTTACTTTTCTACCTGCTTCTTCCTCTTCTCTTCTCTTCTTTTTTTTTTCACAACTCATCTACACTTTTATCTATCTCTACCTCCTATACAACTCGTGAGTTAATCCTTCTTTCTTCAGTATACTTCTACGTATACCTTGTTCTTGCGTATCTCTTACTGACAGCTACCCCGCCATAGACACTATTCACAATGGCCCCCAAGGTATGCGAGAGCAGACCACTCGATTGATATCTCCCATACTCATACTCATATCCAGGTTGGTATCAACGGCTTCGGTCGTATTGGACGTATTGTCTTCCGTAACGCCATCAACCGTGATGACGTCGACGTTGTTGCCGTCAACGACCCCTTCATCGAGATCACCTACGCTGTATGTCTACACACAGAGAGAAACGAAGCGGACAGTGTTAACCCAAGCAGGCCTACATGCTCAAGTATGACAGCACCCACGGTCAGTTCAAGGGTACCGTCGAGGTCGCCCCCGAGGGTCTCATCGTCAACGGCAAGAAGATCCGCTTCTTCGCTGAGAAGGACCCCGCCGCCATCCCCTGGGCTGAGGCCGGTGCCTCCTACATCGTCGAGTCCACCGGTGTCTTCACCACCAACGAGAAGGCCTCTGCTCACTTGAAGGGTGGTGCCAAGAAGGTCGTCATCTCCGCTCCTTCCGCTGACGCCCCCATGTTCGTCATGGGTGTCAACAACACCGAGTACAAGCAGGACGTCAACGTCCTCTCCAACGCCTCGTGCACCACCAACTGCCTGGCTCCCCTCGCCAAGGTTATCAACGACAAGTTCGGTATCGTCGAGGGTCTCATGACCACCGTCCACTCCTACACTGCTACCCAGAAGGTCGTCGACGCTCCTTCCGCCAAGGACTGGCGTGGTGGCCGTACTGCGGCCCAGAACATCATCCCCTCCTCCACCGGTGCCGCCAAGGCCGTCGGCAAGGTCATCCCTGCCCTCAACGGCAAGCTCACCGGTATGGCCATGCGTGTGCCTACCCCCAACGTCTCCGTTGTCGACCTCACCTGCCGTATCGAGAAGGGTGCCTCGTACGACGAGATCAAGCAGGCCATCAAGGACTCCTCTAACGGCGAGCTCAAGGGTAAGCCACCTTCCAATTGATTGACAAGGGAATTCTGCTAACTCAAAACAGGCATCCTTGCTTTCACCGAGGACGACATTGTCTCCTCTGACCTGAACGGTGACGACCACTCCTCCATCTTCGACGCCAAGGCCGGTATCGCCCTCAACGCCAACTTCATCAAGCTCGTCTCCTGGTACGACAACGAGTGGGGTTACTCCCGCCGTGTCGTTGACCTCATCTCCTACATCTCCAAGGTCGACGGCCAGTAGGAATCAGGACAGAGCTCCGGGGTGAAGAGTCTACTCTAAATGCAATAACACGACAGTCGCTCAACCCATGATACCTCCCCTGGATCACATGTAGGTGTCGCGGAACAAGCGCCCTGCGGATTTTGGATACTGAGTGGTTTGCTGAGCTTGTGAAACGATCTAAATTGCTGGAGGACTCATAGATTTTTTTTTAAAAGCATATGAATGACGTACTCTAATGAACGATTCAAATACCTTTCTTTTACCTACTTGTAGATTTCCTAGTTCTTATTCGTACATAGTAGTTGTGCCATGACGAGGCCTATGATTGGCTGCGGTGTTGAGCGGCGAACACTCGGCCAGAGTTGTCGGCGTCAACGAAGCCAGCAACTGTAAACTCTTCAATACGACAGCTCATTAGAATTGAGGCAGTCTTGTTGTTCACAGTTCAGGTAAGATATGATATATCACTTGTTCTATTATGTAGTGTTGGATTTGCGACCAGAGTCACGTGGAATGGGAGCTAGGTGGACCAACGCTCTGGAGCTCCATCGATCCAACAAGCCTATCTTTCCCTCCTCTGAACCATACCTATGTCCAGACTTGACAAGTGATATTTGTTCTAACATATTCAACCGTCCAGAATAAACCATCATAAACATCTTTTCGCATTATTGCCCCTGGTTCATTCCGTTTGTCAGGGTCTCAACATCTATTCACCTAGCTATTTGACAACATCACAACACGCTCAATTTATTTTATTGATCTACTGTCAAATCATTGAACAGCTGGGGTCTCTTCTACGCAATTTGTCCGTTTCATCAAACATCTCAGCCAATCCGCGCACCACCCTTCGAGAAAAACTCAGGGTCCCAACCAACCACCATCCAATTAACCATCTCCTTGCACCGGCCATGACCCGTTAGTACCAACCTTGTGGCAAGGGAAAGCAAAGCAAAAGAGACGCAACACGTTTGGACTCCATCCCAACGGCCATGGAAGACGGTGAGGATACCTTCATGCGGGACGCCATCTCCCACCCCATGGCACCGCCTCATCAGCTGGCTAGAGCTAGCGCGAGCAGACAGTCTCTGCCTGCGCATTTGAATGGGAGCGCGGATCCTTCTCTTGCGCCGTCGATTTTGGGGCAGGGGGTGGGGATTCCGCTGCCCCCAAGGTCGGGGAGTGTGCCGGCGACGGCGACGTCTACGATGGGGACTGTGCCAGTGGCTGGTCCGGCTCCTGGCTCTGGTCACCCAGCAGAGGCGTCAGGTTTGACTAAGTCCGTCATGCTAGGTGGGGAGAGGCCCGAGAGCCCTATGGAAGCGAATTCGGACTGGTCGGACGAAGAGGCTGCGTCTCATGTTGGCATTCCGCTTGCTGGTCTTTCATCGGGACTGTGCTATGATGTGCAGATGCGGTATCATTGTGAAGTGCGGCCGACGGCAGATGTGCATCCGGAGGATCCACGGAGAATTTATTATATCTACAAGGAGCTGTGTCGAGCTGGGCTTGTTGATGATCCGGAGTCATCGAAACCGCTTGTGTCGAGGCCGTTGAAGAGGATTAATGCGCGGAATGCGACGGAGGAGGAGGTTTCGCTTGTTCATACGCCGGATCATTTTGCGTTTGTGGAGAGCACTAAGGGTATTTCTCTTTTCTCTGTTTGTTTTGGGTTTGAAGACTAATGGTGGTAGATATGTCTGATGATGAACTTATTGCACTGGAACATACTCGTGATTCCATCTATTTCAACAAACTCACTTTTGCATCGTCACTTTTGTCCGTGGGAGGTGCAATTGAAACATGTCTTGCTGTCGCTACTCGCAAGGTGAAGAACGCCATCGCTGTTATCCGGCCGCCCGGACACCATGCAGAACACGACAAGACTATGGGATTCTGTCTGTTTAACAATGTATCGGTCGCTGCTCGTGTTTGTCAGAGGCAGTTGGGAGAGAGTTGTCGGAAGATTGTGATTCTCGATTGGTAAGTACTTCACCTTTCTAGTCTGGCTACACTTGCTAATAGATTCAGGGATGTCCATCATGGTAAATACTAGTTACGCAGTAGAAAGAGCTCTACTCACATATCACAGGAAACGGTATCCAGAAAGCATTTTACGACGACCCCAATGTCTTGTATATCTCTCTGCATGTTTATCAAGATGGGAGATTTTACCCCGGTGGCGATGAAGGTGACTTGGATCACTGCGGTGCTGGTGCTGGTGTTGGGAGGTGAGTCTGTCGAATGATCTTCCTATGTTTAGGTGCTAACATGAATAGAAATGTCAACATTCCATGGCCAAGCCAGGGTATGGGTGATGGCGACTACATGTATGCTTTTCAGCAAGTCGTTATGCCTATTGCGCAAGAGTTTGATCCCGATTTGGTTATCAGTAAGTATATTTGCTCTACAGGATAGGACTGTATACTAATCTATGCAGTTGCCTCTGGCTTCGATGCTGCTGTTGGCGATGAACTTGGTGGTTGTTTCGTGACACCATCTTGCTATGCTCACATGACGCATATGCTTATGGGTCTTGCCAATGGGAAGGTGTCTGTCTGCTTGGAGGTTTGTCTGTCTCCTAACATTCATGGGCTAGTCTGACATGAACAGGGCGGTTACAACTTCCGATCCATCTCCAAATCCGCACTCGCAGTCACAAAAACGCTCATGGGAGAACCGCCCGACCGTCTTCTCTCAACATCACCATCAGATCTAGCAGCAAGCACTGTCAAACGCGTTATGATGGTCCAGTCCCGTTACTGGCGATGCATGTATCCGAAGGAACCGCAGGAATTGAGTCTTTGGACTGATAGGCTCCACGGTACGTATGAGCAATTCAAGCTAAGACTATGGGCTAATAGATGCAGATATCATTCGCCAGTACCAGTCCAAGCAGCTGTATGATAACTTCAAGCTCACGCCGCTTTACATTTACCGGACGAATATTTCGAAATCATTCGAGAATCAGGTTTTGGCGAGGTATGTCAGTTCCCCGTGGTTGTCGATGTAGACTAACCTGTGCAGCTCGAATTATTACAAACAGACACCCCTTCTTGTCGTTTTCCACGATCCGTTAGTCCCTTACCAATACCAACAAACATGAACCTGGCTAACACACATAGCCCCGAAATAATGGGCCTCCCCCATCCAACAACCAACAAACTAGAAGCCCACAACTGCTGGCTGGTACGTCAATCCCACCCCAATATTGTATGATGAGCTAACAAGACAAGGCTGATGTTGTCAAGGAGTATACCGGGTGGGCCATTGGGAAAGGCTATGCTGTGATTGACGTGAATGTTCCAAAACATGTCACCAATGAGCATGTATGTTTTCTGGTGGTTTCTTTCTATGGTCTTTGCTGATTTTTACAGGTAACTGGGAAATACGAAGACGAGGATGAGAACAGACCTACTGCGACTGAGGAATTGGCGGGGTATTTGTGGGATAATTATATTGAGTGTGTATTCTCTACCTTGATGTTGAAAAAGGGAAGCTAACAATACAGACCCAACGAAGCGACCGAGATTTTCTTCATCGGCATGGGCAATGCCTTTTATGGTGTTGCGAACTTGTTGATCAACCGAGGTAAGCATCGGTAAAATCGAACCACGCAGACCAGAAATAGCTAATGTTAACGCTACAGAAACCCTCTACCAACGCGTCAACGGCGTAATCTCCTTCGTCGCCGAGAACCCCGTCCGTGCGATAGCCTCCCACACACAAGTCTGGCTCTCGCGATGGTATAAAGATGTACGTCCTCACCCCTTCCGTTCCCATCCAATCCAGTGACTCTCCCCAACTAACGAAGCAGAACTCATTGGTCTTCGTCTCTCACACCCACGGCGTCTGGAGCAACGTCGAAACGCGCCGCAAGCCGTCAAAACGCTACGGGCATCTTATTCAATCACCGACGTCGGGACTTAGCGAGATGCTTATGCATCATCGCGAAGATGTGTTTAAGTGGATTGGGGATCGCGCGGATGATGAGGAGAGTGAGGAGGAAGAGGAGGAAGAGGAGGAGGAGGAGGAGGGGAGGAGGAGGCGGAGGTAGAACAGCAGAGAAGGAAGAGTCAGAGTCAGAGGGGGAGTCTGGGGCAGGGGCAGAGGGGGAGTGGGAGTAAGAGTCGGTCGCCGGTGAAGAGGGTGGCGGCGGGTGAGTAGCCGTGCCAATGAGCAAAGGTCGTTAACGAGGCGACTGGTGCGGAGCGGTGATTAATGAGAGGTTGTGTTGTGTTGTTGTTGTTGTGATGGTGAGAGTTAAGAAATCTTTTTTTAGAATACACACAAGGACAAGGAAAGGAAAGGACAGAACAGTACCTAGTTCATGCACGTCGACCCCCCCATATGGTACAAATAGTGGCTATTGGTCAATTGTAGCCGGTTTATCCGTACATCCCTCAAAAGTACATATCCCCGGATGGAAACCCTCCGAGGACGTTGCATTGTAGCATTAGCCGATAACAATACGAGAATGTCTCACTTGCTGTCATTCGCTTTTCCGTAGTACTGTAGAGTTCTGCAGGGTCCGTACGTATTGATCAACTGAAGTGGCATCTGCAGATTTACATTCCACGGTGCGATGCGACGATGCGATGCGATACGAGATCGCCGATCTGATATCCATTCCGGTGGTTGTGGACTGGTTAAACCCCGTACCCATACCCGTAGGGCTAGTACCATGTTTTCTAGCTGCGGTACGAGAGAGAACTGGGTTTTTATTTAGCACGGATAGAAGGATATCCCTGGAATCCAATATTCTTGATAACAAGCGATGTCTCACTTGCTGGCACCATCCATCATCCATTTATCTTTGGACTAGACTAGACTAGAATAGCATCCAAAATACAGGTTTATGCTTGCTTGGCAGAGGCAAAATCACTCGAGTGGGAATAGTTCAGAGACATGCATGCATTGAGAGATGAATTAAGCGATGAATTTTGTCGGGATTGAGCGACGGAGATACGATGTGGGGATGATTGCCTGATGCGGTTGTATAGATGTGTTGAGTTCATACTAGAATAGATAGTAATGACTAGCTAGGATGTACTTCGTATAGGCTGAGAAAAGGTATATAAAGACCCTCGAATCCTCACCCATCCAGGACTCATCATCAACCTCAATCTACTACTATCCTATCCAAAGTTTACCATAACAAACAACAACTACAGAATCAAATCAAAATGCACCTCTCCCTCCTCGCCCTTGCAACCACCACCCTAGCCACCGCTGCTTCAGCCGTTGGCAACGCAGTCGTCACAAACAACTGCGCAGACCCCATCTACCTCTGGTCCGTCGGCTCCTCCGTCTCCCCCAAACACACCATTCCCTCCGGCGCCAACTACACCGAGCCCTTCCACCACGACGACCAATCCGGCGGCATCGCGCTGAAAATCACCCGCACTGATAACGGGCTGTACGATGGGAGCCCACAGTTAACTTACTCGTACTCTATTGATGGGGAGAGCGTGTGGTATGATTTGTCGAGTGTGTTTGGGGATGCGTTTGAGGGGGATGCGGTTGTTGTGAAGCCTGAGGATGAGGGATGTGGGAGTATTTGTTGGCCTGAGGGGACTACGCCCGGCGGGAGTCAGGTTAAGACTTGCGGGGCTGGGGGGGATGTTGGGTTGGTTGTTTGTGCGGAGGGTTGCTAGGTTAACTGGATGAGGGTTGGGTTGGATGTATGAGGGAAAGGATATGGATTGTTTATGTGTTATGTACTTGATCAAAATGTTTATATATTGATATTTTCTGGCTTGTTATTGTTAATATGCAAAAATATACGAACTTTGACTTGTCCTATCTAAAGCATACATATGTCACCGAGCTCGATTCATGTCAATCATGATGTCGTCATGTCTACTAAACTCGGTTAAGAATTCCTAAATGTGACTGCACTCTATGGCCCGGGAGTACTTCTTCTACAAGTTAGATAGGTTTCCGAATAGCGCTCCCTTCTCCGGTTCAGTGTTGGGGAGACTTTGATTACATGTCAAACATGCGACAACTTCAACCAAGCCTTGACCTATTTTCAGATACACAAAATGGAATTCTCAATATCCCCTGTTAAACCTGAAGACGTAGACATACTCGTCCACAAAGTCGACTATCCAGCACAACAAGATAACCCACTATACCGCTTGATATTTCCCAAGTCCAAAACGGAGCATCAGCGCGAGGAGGAGATAAAATGGACAATCGATGGGCTTTTTGAAGCCATTAACGGGGATGGTAAAGTGCTATACAAGGCATGTACAGTGGATGGGTCGCCTGTTGGATTGATAGGATGGACGGCCGGTCCAACAAAAAAACGCTTCGGATATTGGGTCTAGACAGGCGAAAAAAGGAAGAAATCGGTGTCCGGTTACGATGGATATGGTTGCGTGGCTTGATATCTCAAAAACACTGAAAGAAGAGAAGCAGAGGGTTTATCAGAGTTGTAGACTAGAAGGCCACGAGATACGCCGTATGTCTATTTGAGTACTCATTCCGAACCCTGCTCACGAGTCTATACAACAGCTGGGATTCGCTGATAGTCACCCACCCAAATACTGCACATGTATACAAAAGTCAACCATGAGAATAATACATATAACGGTCAGATAGGCAGTGGTGGGCTCCTATAACCTTGCATTCATACTCTTGGTGGGCGATTAGAAGGGACCTGCGCCAATGTCTCACCCACTATCAGTCAATACGAGGCTGTAAGTTTCATTGATCCCCATGGGGTGATGATGATGCGGGGTTTGTGGCGACTCCCTACCAATAGGAAGATTCCATAACCCTACATGATGCTTTAATAGTGACTTATTGGTTGATATCATCGTGATCCCGCAATATGTGAAATTTTATGACCTTAAAAACCTAGAGTTATCTTTAAATCAAAGGGTTGCCCTTCCGAAGATTACTCCGCCCAAGCCCATCATGGAATCTAACAAATTATCATCTATGAAAGTTCGCTTTGACCAGCTCAAAAAGGCAGAACAAGACAGTTATGACTATTCACCTTTGCCTCGAATCACATGGCACTCTTCCCTCATGGGTGTACTTGTATCTATGGGCGGTTTAATGTGAATTTCGCACTTCTCTGTTCTATTGAATGATAAGCTAAATCAATCAGTTTCGGATACGACACAGGTCAAATTTCTGGTTTCCTTGAAATGTCCGACTTCTTGAACCGTTTTGGTCAAAGAGACCAAAATGGCACGCAATACTTCAGCAACGTGCGGTCCGGGCTCATTGTCGGTTTGGTATATCTCAGAGATCCGATGATGCATTCCTTGTATGGCTGATCTTTTCTACTTTTTCAGCTCTCGATTGGAACCCTCATCGGTGCTTTGGTCGCTGCACCAATAGCTGATCGGATTGGGCGGCGTTTATCGATATCTTTATGGAGCGTGGTTGTGTCCGTGGGTTTCGTGATTCAAATTGCATCAGTAACGGCTTGGTACCAGTTAATGATCGGCCGTCTGGTTGCAGGTCTTGGGGTTGGTGCACTCAGTCTGCTCGTGCCTATGTATCAAGGTGCATAATCCCATTTCTGGATGAAAGTATCATTCTAACAACTATAGCTGAAACTGCGCCACCGTGGATTCGAGGTGCCCTGGTCTGCACTTATCAGTTATTCATCACTCTAGGGATTTTCTTGGCCGCCTGTTTCAATTATGGCACCTACACGCATCAGCCAGATAACTCTGGCTCCTGGCGTATTGTTGTCGGACTTGGATGGGTATGGACACTCATTCTGGGTCTTGGCATCTTACTTTTCCCCGAGACGCCTCGCTACGCATACCGTCACGGCCGCACCCAGGAAGCCAAAGAAACGCTGTGCAAGGTTTACGGCGCTCCTGCAAATCATTACAGCATCCACATTCAACTAGAAGAGATAGAGAACAAACTCCGGTCCGAAACCCATAGTTCTGGTGGAATGATCCGTGAGTTTGCCGGGATGTTCAAGGCACCGCGGATGTCCTACCGCATTGCTTTAGGGATGACACTACAGGCTTTCCAGCAGCTTACAGGCGCCAACTATTTCTTTTACTATGGGACGACTATATTCAGGTCTGTGCAGATCAACTCATTTGTTACCCAGATGATATTGAACGGTATCAATTTTGGCACGACTTTTATTGGCCTTTACTTGATCGAGCATTACGGCCGGAGAAAATCTCTCATTGCAGGAAGCGCCTGGATGTTCATTTGCTTCTTGATCTTTGCATCCGTTGGTCACTTTTCTCTCAACATCGACCGACCTGAACTGACACCCCCGCCTGGTATTGCTCTTATTGTTTTTGCCTGCCTTTTCATTCTCGGATATGCGACAACTTGGGGTCCGGTGAGTAAATCTTCACAGTTTTGAAATATATCTCGCTGATTATGCGTGATCTGCAGATGATCTGGACCGTCCAAGCAGAAATCTTCCCATCGCGCTACAGAGCAACGGCAATGGCGCTCTCAACAGCAAGCAACTGGACATGGAATTTCCTGATAGCTTTCTTCACGCCATTTATTACGAGCGCCATTGATTTTCGATATGGCTACGTGTTTGCAGGTTGCAATTTTGCTGCCGCAGTTATCGTGTACTTTTTCTTGATTGAAGGGCAAGGCAAAACACTGGAGGAGATCGACACTATGTATATCCAGCATGTCGCCCCATGGCGTAGCTCGAAGTGGGTTCCGCCGGCATCATTGGAAGAGGGATCGCTGGAAGAGGGTAAAAAGACCAGCAGCACTGCTGGACCAGAGGCCGCCGCGGAACATTTGGAGACTGCCGCGCAGCATTGACGGTAGCGACATTTGGTATTTCTATAAGCGATGAGCCAGAAGAAATTGCTTTACAGCCGGACTCGAGTCTTTTGCAATGTCAACTCCTCGGGTGGTATTTGTGCAACGATCAACTAGTTATGCACCTCGTGATATGGCCTCAAAAGATGTTCGAACGTGGGATCTTATCACATTGGGGCAGGGGATTGTTGGGACTAAATCCACGAGTATAAAAGACCAAACATTCTTCGTTATCCTCAAAAAAAAAGAGAAAAATCTCAAATCTAAGCAATTCACTACTAAATTACCCCAAGGTTTCTTCATACCTTATTGTATTGCAGTCCCTCAATTTACCAATTATCCCTTGACAAATCATACTCTAAATTTGGCTTGGAGGTAGTCAATTGTGTCGAAACAGACGAGGAGTTTACGAGTATGCTGAGGACTTTGCAGGTCTCAACCCAGGTCCTCCGTCTGTAATATCCGAGTGTACACACTCGCCTTGACATGTTTCGCATAGAGTCGTAAGCTCGGAGATAACTTTTGATCTCGGCTCAGAGTTCCCCAAAATAAGAATGGAGACCTTCAATGCCGATTATCTCCCGTTTAGGCAGTTAGCCACGCAATGTTAATTATTGATTGTCTACTCTGTACCAAATAAATCTATTCTGGGTCTCTACACGGACTATATAAAGCTTCGCCGATCATCTCGGTCTCTACTCTACACACCTCCTCTCTAACCACTCGACCAACAACATATACCCAGCCCAATGTTGAACTTGCTCCAGCTTCTCCTCGCTGCCCCGGCACTCGCCGCGGCGGCCACCTTCCCCGTCATCCAAAGTAACCACGGACCTGTCAAGGGTGCAGCTTCGCCTTTCCGTGACGGTGTCACCGTTTACAAAGGTATCCCTTATGCGGCGCCTCCCACTGGCTCGAAGCGCTGGACTCCTCCCACCAAGCCTGAGTCGTGGACCGAGACACTCCATGCAACCGAGTTCGGTCCTCAATGCGCGCAGCCATATTCCGAGGCCGGTATCTTTTCTTCCGGAAAGAACTCCACTAGCGAGGATTGCTTGACTCTGAACGTCTGGACTCCCACCTACGACACCACCGATGCCAGTGAGATCCAATCCAAGAACCTCCCCGTCTACGTCTGGATCTTCGGCGGCCGCTTCGAGGGTGGCTCGGGCGATGTACTCACCTACGATGGAACCGGTCTTGCCTCCAAGGATATCATCGTTGTCACCATGAACTACCGCCTGGGTGCATTTGGCTTCCTTGCTCACCCTGACCTCTCCGCTGAGTCTGGACACAACAGCTCTGGAAACTATGGTATTCTGGACCAGCAGTTTGCTCTCCGCTGGGTTCAGGACAACATTGCCTACTTTGGTGGAAATGCTAGCCAGGTCACTGTGGGTGGTCAGTCTGCTGGATCGGCGAGTGCCTTGGACATGATGTGGAGCCCCCTCAGCAGTGGTCTGGTTCACGGTGTTATTGCTGAAAGTGGTGCTCGTGGCCCCCATGACCCTGCCACTGGCAGTGTTGCTACTAGCTACAACACCAAGGGCGTTGCCGAGGCTTTCGGCGTTCAGTTCCTCAAGACCATGAATGTTTCCTCCATTGCTGAGCTCCGGAACGCCCCGATGGCCGATCTCATTGCCCAAGGCCAATTGATGCAGGATGGTTATTTTGACGGTACTCCCTTTGCTGACCTTTGGTCTGGACCCCCGCGCTGGCGTCCGGTGATTGACGGCTATGTGTTCCGTCACGGATACGGCAAGTCCCTGGAGCTGGGCGCCCACGCCGATGTGCCCATCATGACCGGCAACAACAAGGACGAGAACGGTGGAGGCGCTTCGACTGTCTCCGAATACAAGACCCTATGGACAGAGGTTTTCCGCAACTACTCCTCGGAGTTCTTCACTTTGTACCCCGCCAAAACCGACACCCAGGCCAGCGAAAACAGTGGTGCTGTGCTTCTCGATATGGCTCGCATCGGAACATGGGAGTGGGCCTCCGAGTGGGCTGCCGGTGGTGCAAAGAGCGATGTCTTTGTTTACTACTTCACCAAGGCTCCTGCTGAGAATGAGGCCGGCGGTGCTTACCACGGTGCTGAGATCTGGTATGCCTTCAACAACATTCCCTACTCGGACTACTCCAATGTCACTTGGAACGCCACGGACTACAAGATCGAATCTGTCATATCCGAGTACTGGGCCAACTTCATCCGCACTGGTAACCCCAACGGCGCCAACTTGACCTACTTCCCTCCATCCTCCAACAACAAGACTGCCATGCATCTAGGTGAGACTTTTGGTGTTGTCCCGATCGCAGAGTCCCAGGAGCGCGTTAGCTTCCTCCGCCGGTGGATGTCGCATCTGCACGAGTACTAAACCGGGAAAGTGTAGTCTTTCTTGTACTTATTACACTAAACCAATTGACTTGCCCCCCTTTTTTTTTTTTTTTTCCATTCCTCTGTATATTGATTCTTGGGGGGGGGAGGGCAAAATGAGTCGTAGTGGCACCAGTAGTAGCTAGTCGTCATTCGGATGTCCTCACTCCGGTGTATTCGGTTGAGATTACCTAAATAGGAAGGGCGCAGTTCTCAAGAAGTATTTATGTAATTTAATTCATAGTAGCCGGCAACAACGTCCCAAGCCGATAGCCCTGCCCACGACACAACTACGTATCCTGGGCCCACCGTTAATAGCAAAATGAACTATCACAGGGCGTCCAATTGAAAGAAAGTGTTGGTCTGGTGCTGCATCTCCACTGCGGCGTACTCTTCACAGCTCACATCGGCTTCCAAATAATACTCAATGAAAGATATTATGCCGCGGAGTGGGGGACAGATGTTCAGACATATCGGTCTTACATTCCAAGTTTCAAGACCTTCCCTGGGGCATACTAGAGTTGGATCCCACGTTATGGATGACTGGGACATTGAAACAACCTGCAAAGGCAAGGTTCTAGGCTGATTCTCGAATCTTCACTGTCCGAATAATTTGAGTCCTCACCGGAATTCCCCCGGAAATAATTTTTGACTTGTCCAATCTCAAGCCAACGAAATGGCACAAAAAATGGCTTAACGTCCGTGTCAGTCTCGTCCCCGAGTCCAGAAGACTGCAGAACTGTCTCCACATTTACACCCGAAGGCTTGCCCCTGTCTTTAATTCAAAGGTCGTTATTCACCATGCGTGAAGCGCGTCATCGCTCTTTTTTCTCGGTTGAGGAAGGACAAAGAGTAGATCAGTGTTCGGTGGCCGCGTATGCCTCTACAAATCTCAATTTTATCAGCAGCGCTGGTCGTCTGCATGAAAAGCAGCAAGCGTTTCTTCTTCATCCATTCATCCTTTTTCTTCGTTTTTTCCTCCCTCTTTGATCTGTCATGAAGCTACTTTCAACGCTAGCCGGCGTAGCAGCCTGCGGCTCGTCCGTCGTCTCTGCCCTGAGCCCCCCAGTTATCGACACTCATTATGGTACAATCCATGGCGGTCTCTCCCCATTCCGTGGAGGAGATAAAGCCTTCGTCTACAAGGGCATTCCCTACGCGCAACCTCCCACGGGCGCCAACCGTTGGACCAAGGTCGCAGGCCCTAGTTACTGGGGCTCCCTGAATGCCACCGAATTTGGCCCGCAGTGCGCACAAAGCATCAGCGATGCCGGCATCTTCTCCAGTGGGAAGACCACCACCAGCGAGGACTGTCTTACTCTCAATATCTGGACTCCGGCATACGAAAACCAGACCAACATGGCGTCCAAAAAGTTACCTGTTCTTTTCTGGATCTATGGTGGACGATTCACCGGTGGTTCTGGTGATGTCAAAACCTATGATGGCACTGGTCTTGCGCAAAAGGATATCATTGTTGTCACCATCAATTACCGTCTCGGACCCTTTGGGTATCTTGCGCATCCTGAGTTGACTGCTGAATCTGGTACCAATAGCTCAGGCAACTACGGCATTCTGGATCAACAAGCCGCTCTTCATTGGGTCAATGAGAACATTGCCAAGTTCGGCGGTAACCCTGATCAGATTACCGTTGGTGGGCAATCCGCTGGCTCAGCTAGTGCCCTCGATGTCATGTGGAGCCCATTGGCCAAAGGCCTTGCTGAAGGAATTATCTCTGAGAGCGGTGCACGGGGAACACACGATCCGATGACAGGCACTGATGCCACCAGCTATCGGACCAAGGCCGCTGCTGAGGCGCAAGGTGTCAAGTTCCTCCGCCAAATGAATGTTACATCGATTGCTCAGCTGCGAAATGCGTCCATGGCAGCTCTACTTCAATTTGACTCGCTCAGTGACACCATCTGGGAGGGAACACCCTTGGCAAACCTCTCCGATACATTCATGGAGCCTCCCATGTGGCGGCCTAACATTGACGGTTATGTCTTCCCCCTCAACTACTCTGAGGCGTTGCGCAACAACTCCCATGCCGACATTCCTATCCTTACTGGAAACAACAAGGATGAATCCGGTGCCAGCCCAGACCTCTCTTATACTGCCACCAATTACCACGATCTTTATAGCAACCTCTTTGGCGACCTTGCGGACGAGTTCTTCACATTGTACCCCGGTACCAACACCTCTCAGGCCTCAGAAAGTGCTAAGGAGTTCTACCGCGACCTCAGCCGCGTCGGCACCTGGCGCTGGGCTGTTGATTGGGCAGCAGGCGGAGCCAACAGCAGCGTCTATACCTACTACTTCACTCATGCGCCCGCAGAAAACCGGGATGGGGGCGCTTACCACGGCTCAGAACTCTGGTACACTTTCAACAATCTCCCCTACGCGTCATACTCCAACGTTACCTGGAACGATGAGGATTACATCGTGCAGAACAAGATGGCGAACTACTGGGCGAACTTCATCCGCTCTGGAAACCCCAATGGAAACGGACTGCCTCGATTCCAGCCCACTACCAACAAGACTGAGCGGACCATGTGGCTTGGTGACAAGTGGGGAATGGGTCCGATTACCATGGACAGCAAGCGCATCCAGTTCCTGCACAAATGGACTGCCCGGTTGCCTGCGTGGTGATTGTTAGCACTCGGTGATATGCTCTCAAGTCCTGTCCTGTGTGGCCGTTGCCCACGTCCGTTCCTTTCAATATGTACTTTAATATATAGGCCAGTTTGAGGAAATGGAAATATATTTGCCTCTCATTTTTTGTGGGCATATATCCGTTTTTACTCAAACAAAATGCCTGCTCTTCTTGCAGCTATACGGAACGTTCTAGATAGATGCTTTTTTTATGCGATTATCTATAAATATGGCCATGTCGCCCTTCTGTATTCTAGTTCTTCAATCTATCATATTTCTTTACTTTAATCCATCTATCATTCAGCCTCTGGCATCGTACTTTTGTACACCCCGTCTTTTTCTTCTGTAATATTAGGACCTGTATCTCGCTTGACGGGGCGCCTGGAACATCAAAATCAGCACCCAAGAGAAACACGTCTTTTTCACGCGTCAATCGACCGATAGGGGC